GGGGGGGGGGGGGGCGTGGCTACATACAAATTATACATCTACACCATTCATAAAATACATCATATCTCCTCTCAGCCGACGGTTTACACGGCACCACTGTTCCATTATTTTAAAAAAACAAAAATTCAGGGTCAGTTCAGGTATCACAAGTCCCATGAGTAGATTCAATTCAACTTCTCGTCACAGATAGTGTTTTAAAAGCCTCAAATAACCTATTCGAAAATCAATTAGTAAAATATGACTGCAGCTAAAGGCAATTCATAACACAAAATTAAAAATACTTCACATACCATCCCCGACCTGGACACCCAAGGACCTATCCAACCCTCAGTTGCGATAATGGTTCTAGATCTGTTCGGTCCATTGCTACCTTGAATCTTTAGTGAGAGAAAATTGTGTGTCCAATGTTCAGTATATTCCCATTGCCACTTCCCATTCTATGATTTGATGGCTTCCCGAAATGCTACAGGGGAACATATTTAAATCATAATCACTAAAATACTGTAATGGGTAGAGGGGTGTTTGGAATGAAAGTCCAGAGTCTTTTAAGAGCGATGTATTCACATCACGCGCTGGTCACAGTGTGGCGCCGAGTGAAAGCTGGCGCCTGCTTTTATTGGGTATTGGAAGGCAGAACAAAGAACGTAAGGGGTTGAGGAAGAACTTAAAGAAGAACGTAATGTGTGGCGACGAAGTTTGGGGTCTGCCGATAGATGGCGAGTAATAGTGGTGTGTGACTGACTCTTGACTGGACCATGGACTGGACTTGAACAATATAGTTCTGAATATTATTATAGAGGTCACTAAACTACACTACCTTCAAATAATTGTTTTTATTTTTAAGTTTATGGAAACATTAATGCCTAACAGGCTGACAAGACAGTGGCACATGTTTTCACACAAGACAAAGGTCCAAGTCGAACAGTAATTATTTGGGCATATATCAGTTATACCAGAACATAGTAGTATTGACGCAATTAAACTAGGGAAAAAGATGGGTACATTGATTGCTGAATAATGAGAATCGATTTGAAAAATGCTGAACACCGGTAAAACAATATCATACAAGCAAATCATGTAAGAGTGAAAGCTATTCAGTGTAAAAATACCAATTACAGCAGGGGATTTTACAGTTTTACTATGATTAAACGACGCATGATAGAAGTGTGTGCAGATATTCAGAAAAGTGTCAAGTTTGGTCAAGCTAGAGAGGAAGAGATTACACAGAATTCCTACACCCCACATAAAATTACAAGCACACCACAAACATGCAAAACCCAAACGAAATGTCATTACTAACACCACATAAACAAACTCCACTACAATGCAAGAAAAGCAAGGCAGGAATAAGAAGTCACCGTCAAGAGAGAGTCCAGTCGTGATTAAAAAGAAAACAGTTAAATGGTTCTTGTCTTGTTGATCCAGTTATATGGTTCTTGTTGTCTTGTTGATCCAGTGGTGGAACAGCAATGTAGAAATGCCATCTGGAACATTACAGCAAATTACATGTTCAGAAAGGAAAAGAAATCTGTCGGTTTATACTCCTATCCCACAAAATTCCGATACTAGAATAGATAAACTTCAAATAACTTTTGATAGGTGGACCATAATAAACATTGCTAGGTTTTAAGGCAAATTAAAACAAGACGCAAGTCTGAAACCATCTCCCCTCACAATCTGTTTCTGGTCCGAACTACAATTTCAGTGTTCAAAAATATTAATAAGGTACAAAAGAAATGAGATTTTAAGAAATGAAAAATGTTTAAAACCCCTTAAACACGCCCCAGACCACCAGTAGGAGAGAATCGTCACAGATCACCACATTGACATCTATTATTTGTCAATTCTCTGCTGCTGGGGCAATGAAATGTACTGAAGTGAAGCTATTCGTTACAATTAAACCCGAGCAAAATACTCGTTCTCTACCTCCGAGAAGAAGTGTCGGGAGGTAAAGAACGAGTAAAAACAAAAAGAAATAGGCCTATGTGAATGTAAGGGAAACATGGTTGGGCAACTGTTGCTAAGATTAACAAACTCACCTGCTTACTGCCTCTTGTGGCCCTCGCTCTCACCAGTTCTGCTTCTCATCCTTGTGACAGTCACCTCCACACAACACGGGCTGCGCACCTGTAGGAGGACAAGCAAACTCACTGTAACAACTTGCAACCGCTATCAAAATACTTTTCCTCTGATGGCAAAACAGTTTGAAGAGAATCAATCGTTTGAATGTGAGTATGTTCAAGAGATCTCGGCCATAGCAAAGGATACGTTAGTATTGCAAACTATTTTCTTTGCAGCTTACAAAAAATAATGAAGCATTGTGATACGAACCAATTATCCGCACGCTTGCCAACAGTTTCTTTGCAATAAGAACTAGTTCTTTACAATAATACAAAGCTCAAAAATCTTTTGCAACCTTGCAATAGAATACAGTTTGCAAAAAATTTTCAGGTTGAGCCTAGGAAAAACTTACTGGTTTCTCTCCCTTTCTCCGGTTGTTCGGGATGACATTGAAGGCAGCAGCGTTCATAGTAGACTGGGTATCGGGGGCCCAGCGGGTCGTGGAGTCTTGGTGTCCTCGCCGGCTGCGGGGCGAGGCGGGGCGGGGCGCGCAGTTGCAGCGGGCAGAGCACCGACCAGGCGCGCCTCACAAGAAGACCCTCTAAAAGGCAGGGTCGCGGCGGGGCGCGGCGGCTCGGGCTAGGACCTGCAACAAAAGCGGGTGTCAAGGGAGCAGCTCAATAAATCATTACATATCCCGGGAATAATAATCCCAAAGCACACCAACCACAACCAACCTTCTCATTCTCGGCGGCAGCAATAATCTGCTTCCCCCGCGGAGTGTCGGCGACGAGGACGGCGAGGGAGGGCTGTGGGGGTGTACCTGGAGGTCCTGGAGGTCCTGGAGGCCTTCGCCGACCGCGGAGACTAGCTGACGAGGCCGGAACTGGAACGCGCCTGGAACAAGAAAAGCGATTAGAGAAACGAACATCTGGTCACGGAGCAAACCACAGTCACTTCTCCCGCAGCTGAAACGGTGGCTCCGCGGCGCACGTCCGGGCAGGCTGCCTGTCCACGGCGAGGCGGGCGGCTGCAGCGGGCCTTCCACGGAGACTCTGCAACATGGTCATTCAAAATTAATAGGCAAACCCCAAAAAATGAACAAGAAGCCACTAAAGATGAAGTCCGCCCTCCACCTGCTTGTAGGCGACCAAGAAGGCGGCGACGAGGCCGTGGTGACGCACTGCTCGGGGTCTCAGGGGAGCGTCCTAGTCGAGCAGCTTGGTGCAGCAACAGAACGGCCGAGGTCTCGACGGCCAGAGCAGCAGCGGCATGGAAGAGGAATAGAACAAGTTATTAGTTCGGTGCCTACGTGCGGTTGGAGTACGCCATCACTTTGCCCTCGTGGTCCGCCGGTCACAAAGTATCACACACGCCCGCCAGCCGCGGCCGACGCACTGCCCCGAGCGCTGCCACTCGCCAGCCCCGCGGGGGGGAGGGGGGCCTACGGGGGAGACCCGCGGGTCCAGCGAGGGCAGGCCCAGCGCGGCGCGCCAGCCAACGGTCGAGGGGCGGCGCCAGGGAACGACCGGGGCCACTGCAAGCGGGCCAAACGTGCAACAAGGAAGGCTTGAGGGACGTACCTGTGGTCTGCCGACCACGGCCACAGCAGCATCCAGCCAGAAGGTCCAGTTGTCGGCTGGGGAGCAGAGTCGCGGCGAGGCGCGGCGGCTGGGACCTGCAACAGAGGCGGGCGGTAAGAGAGCAGGTCAATAAATGATCACATGGACCGGGACTTCTCGGTTCCGAAGTACACAAACATACCTTTCTCAGCGGCAAGAATCTGATTGCCCCCGCGGAGTGCCAGCTGGAGCATGGCGGGGATGCGCAGGCCGGCGGTGAGCAGGGCGACGGTGAGCTGGGTGGTGGTGAGCTAGGCCGCCGTCTGATCCAGAAGATCGTTCAAGAGGGGCTACCTGCCCCATGAGTGCAACAAGGACGGAGCTATACAGGAGGTATCGGAGAGCCCCTCTTGAACGATCTCCTGAATCAGGCGACAGGGCGGCGGTGAGCAGGACTGCGATGGTGAGCAGAGCGGCGATGAGCTGGATGGGGTCGACGTTGAGTGGGCGGACGGTGAGCAGGAGCAGAGCGGTGGTGTTGGGCAGGGCGACGATGGTGAGCACGGCGACGATGAGCTAGAGCAGGTCGATGGTGAGCGTGGTGACGGTGAGCAGGAGCAGGGCGGTGGTGTTGAGCATCACAAACGCCGAGGGTAGGGGTAGCGAGGCGGCTCCCCCCCCCCCGCGCTCCCCGCACCCTCGTCTTTTGTGAATCTTCTTGTGTTCTTCTTACCGCGTCGAGCGGAATAGCCTATTGATACCCTGCCGACAACAACTTCAATCAGGGGGGAACAAAAACAAACCAAAGCCAAACGCAACACAGTAAAAAGGGGCCGATTTGATCACTGACCTGAAATTGGATCTTCAAATCATTTGATCTCTTCCGCATAAAAAGGCCAAAACGTCAAACAAAACATTATAAACGTTAATCGGCAATATTTAACTAAACGGCAGAAAGATGAGGTTGTTGACGCGGCTCCCCATACTACCCACGGCTACGCGACTTTCGGCTAATACGGCCACGACTGGTGTCTGGTGTCGGACTTTCTATCATGTTACTGTGTGTCGAGGTATCATTGTGAAGAACGCAGAGAGTGCAATTTTAATCGTCCCATCCAAAAATCTGCCCCGCCCCCCTGCCTGACCGTGCCAACCAGACCACGGCGATGAGCGCAAGAGCACTGTCCACCGTTGCGCTCTGAAGTCAAAATCTACTATAATGTTCCTATCTGAGCAAAACAAAGTACGGTCGTCTACCCTACCATGAGTCGACAGCCAGCCCCGGTCCGGCGCGCAGCAGCAGCGACGGCGAGTGGAACCAGTGGAACGGAGGCAAAGGGAGCTTGAGGACACTTGAACACTACACTTCACGGCCCACATGCACACACTGCAGTCGACTTTCACTTATTTGGCCACGATGCACTTGACACTGCACTTCTCTTCTTGCACTTCGTCGAATGGGCCAGGCCCGGCGGCGGGCCCGGCGGCGGGCCCGGCGGGGTGGGAGGGGAGGAAGGGGGCGCTGCAGCGACGACGAGAAGGCCCATACGCGGGTGACGCGGATGACACGGATGGCGCGGGTGACGGGCTCGAACTCCAGCTCGGCGACGACAGCCGGGTGAGCGCGCGGCGGAACGGCGCGCGGGCCGGACACGGCGGCGGGGCGAGGACCAAGAGCCAGACAGAGTTGTTGGGGACGGGGAGCGCGGCGCATTTGGTCCAACCTGAAGACGGACAGGCAGCATGACGAGTTGCACGGCCGACGAATCGCGAAGCACGAGGTTGAGAGGGCGACCAGCTGGGCCGGGAGCTTAACCGACGAGTAGCTCATCTCAGCTGTTCCCGATCTGACGCTCCGTTCCGCAGCCGGCGGCGGCCCGGCGGCTGGCCAGTGGAGAGGGAAGGCGGGGTGGGGGGATTCGCGAGAGGCTCACTCTAGCGGCAGTTGTCAAAGGGGGGATAGGATGATGGACCTCACTGCGGGAAACCAACAACGAGATTCGTCAGTGAAACTTGACAATGAAAATTGAGAGGGAAAGCAACACAAGTTTTCTCGTCTGAACTTGTTAATACGGTATTTCACCAGCAGTTAAAATACCTCTTAGAGCCGGATTCGTTTTAGCTGCAAAATTATCAAAACTGAAAAAAATGTGGGCCCTACCCACCCCGCTTTGACACGGGGACCCGCCTG